AAAAAAAAAAAAAAAAGTTCCAAACAGAGCCAAGGTTTAATTACATACCATTTTTTCTTTCTTACTACCATTTTGAATGTTTGCATACTAAATTTCAGTCCCCTGCTGTAGTGGCGGTTCTCCTCCCTGACTTAGATGTCTCCTAGGATCCCTACTTGCCTTCTTGACTCTGGAATGAGCAGTTCTTGCCTCCCCCAACCCCAAAAGCCCGCCCTCTACTGGCTCCCATTGATCCTCCCCTAGGGATCTGACACAGCCACCTTCTCCTCTGCGCCACCTCCTGGATATCCATCGAAATGACAGCTCCTCCAAGCGTTCCCCCAGCCAAACAGAAATTGCCCTTCACTCTCCTCCCGCATCCTTTCCATCTCCACGGGGCTTTGTAGTAAAGAACTGCGGTCATCGAGTCCCGCAGGGTGAGGGACTGAATCCAACCTCTGCCTATAAGTGGAGGCTGCAAAACTTTAAGCAAATTATTTCTCTGTTCTTGCCCTCAGCTTCCTGTATGTAGACTCTTCCCAGTCTGGGAAGAGTGACAATATGCATCCTGCAGGTGTGGAAACATGGTACATTTGGCAGTTACCACAGAAAGGGTTTGGGACTGTGTGTAGAACTTACAAGCAGTGGTCAAGATATATGCCAAATGTTTAAATTTTTAAAAATTTATTACAGTAAAAGACACACCACCATTAATTCCCTTCAAAACACTCCCACCTCACTTTGAATACACTTACTTTATCATTACTGCCACTGTTTTTTTTATACACCAGGGATCAAGCTCAGGACCTTGCACTTACAAGGAAGGCACAGTGCCACTGAGCTAAATCCCGGGCCCTATTGACACTTTTTGAAGTTCTAGAAGGCTTCCTTCATGTCTTCATGAGGTGTGATAAGAAATATGGTGAATACTGTTGCACAGTGCCATCCAACAGAGAGGAAGGCTTGTAACAACATTATGGCATTCAAGCCCTAAAACAAAATAAACTCCAACCCAGATTGATGTACCCCACAAAATTATCTGTCAAAATTGATGGATAAATAAGATATTTCCATGATAAAGAACACCTGAAGAAATTCATGACCATCAAACAAGCACTCCAAACGTTCTGAAGGCTATTCTAGAAAAAGACAACAATTCCAAGAATCCCAATAGAGTGCTTCCTTCAGCAGCACATATACCAAGAATCCCAACAGAATGAATCCACCAGGCAAGGCAAGCAATTAAAAAGAAAGGAAAGAAAGGGAACCAACAACAAGAAAATAATACGTTGACAAGGACAAGTCAATATCTATGTTATAACTATCAATGTGAATGGTCCAACTGACCAATCAAAAGAAACAGATTGGCAGAATGGATCAAAAAACATGATCCAACAATATGCTGCATACAAGAAACACATTTAACTCAAAAAGAAATTTATAGTCTGAAAGTCAAAGGATGGAAAATAGTATTTCATGCAACAGGAACATGGACAAAAGAAGGGATAGCTATTCTTTTTGCAGACAAAGTGGACTTCAAGCCAAGACTATTCAGAAGAAACAAAGAAGGTCATTATATACTTGTTAAGGGAACAATTGAAGAGGGAGAGAAAATGATCATAAATATGTATCCACCAAAAACCAGTGTACCCAACTATATAAAACTGCCATGGCTCAGCATGGCTAAAGGGTTCACGGAGTGAGAAACGACAGTGAGAGATTAAGAAACTTAAAGAATAAGACAAAGAAGACAAAGATGACAGTAAAATTTATATAGGTGAGGCCAGGTAGAAACTCTTTGACCTGATGAGACAAAAAGCTTGTCTTGCATCCTCAGCACCTTTATTTATAGTGTAGGTAAGGAAACCGAAAGGGGATGCCTGATTCAAACTGGTAGAACGGCTAGGGTCAGCAGGAGATAATGCTTGATGTTTCTCTGGGGAATTGGTGGGAAGGAAGATAGTCCTCTTCTCAGCCAGGCCTTGCTCCACCATGCCCTCGGGGGGAGGGGGCAAGTTAGGTCTGGCCATAGTGATCTATAGCGGATCACTCCCAGCATAAAACAAACACTAATGGACATGAAAAATCAGCTAATCACCGTTACAACTGTAACAAGGGACCTCAATACCCCACTGTCACAAATAGACAGATCAACTAGACAAAAACAAGAAATATCAAAGTTGAACCAAACCTTTGAACAAATGGACTTAGTAGATATCTATAGAATATTCCTTCCAACAACATCAGAATACACATTCTTCTCAGCAGCACCAAAGTAGACCACATACTAGTTCATAGAACATGCAAAGTAAATGCAAAGGAATTGAAATTATCCCGTGCATATTATCAGACCATAGTACAATGAAATTGGAAATAAATGGCAAAAGAAACCACAAAAACTACATAAACGCATGGAAACTAAATAATACCCTCCTGAATGGGTCACAAGTGAAATTAAAGAAGAAATTACAGAGTTTCTACAATTAAACAATAATGTCAGTATAACATACTGGAACTTATGGGATCCAATGAAAGCAGTCCTATGAGAGAAAATTATAGCAGTGAATTTCCACATCAGAAAACTGAGCAAGCTGAAATAACCTAATGTTGAACCTCAAGGTTCTAGAAAAAGCAGAGCAAGTTAAACCCAAAGCTTGTTTGAGGAAGGAAATTATAAAGGTCAGAGCAGAAAATAATGCAACTCAGACCAAGAAAACCATACAAAGAATCAATGAATCAAAATGTTGATTCTTTGAAAGATTAAATAAAAGATTTAGCTCACTGGTGCCCTACTTGCCTGGCAAGTGCAAGGTCCCGAGTCTGATTCCCAATACTAAAAAAATAAAAAACAACAAAACAAGAAAAGACTCAAATTCATGCAATTAGGAATGAAAAGGGCAAAATCACAATGGATCCTGTTGAAATCCACAAGATCATCAGTGTCTACTTTGAGAAACTGTACTCTAATAAGATGGAAAATTCAGAAGAAATGGACAGATTCCTAAATACATATGAAGTACCGAAGCTGAATTAAGATATAAAAATTCTAAATAATCCAAATATCAATCAATGAAATTGAAGAAGTAGTTAAGAAATGACCAACAAAGAAAAGCCCATGTCCTGACAGATTCACTGCTGAATTCTACAAGAACTTTTACAAAGCTTTTGTAAATTGGGAGAAGAGAGGTTGAAGGGAGGGGAAGGGAATGGGGGGGAAAAGAATTAAGATATATTATGTACAAGTACAGATTTCCTATGTTGAATGTGATCATTATGTATGGCAAATATGTACTAATAGCCAGGGTGATGGCACATGCCTGTAATCCCAGCACTGGGGAGGCTGAGGCAGGAGGATCTCCATAAGTTTGAGACCAGCCTGGGCTACGTAGTGAGTTCAAGACAAGCCTGAACTACATAGTGTGACCCTGTCTCAAACAAAACATAATAAAACAAAATATGGACTAGTAAAAAAAAATTTTTTTTAAACCATTATGGTATATCTTCATCCTCCTGAACAGCCTTCTCCAGGGTCCAGTGCCCTTGCTTGTCCTTTAAGTGTGGAAGGAGCTGAGCTCAGGAGGTTAACAGAGAGCAGAGCTATAGCCCATGATGTCCCCCAGAGGGCCTGGCCTGGGACAGAAAAACACTTTGTTGTGCCAATGTTTGATGTATTTCAAAAATTTCTCCTGCAGAGGCCTAGCAGACAAAGGTTGGTGGGTAAGACATTTATTAATGTGTTACTTGAGAGAGGGAGGAGGCAGACTGGCAGGGATGCAGATGGCCCGGGGACTTGTGGTAAGGTCCTTTCCCTGTGCATCTCCCAGTTCTCTCATCTGGAGTCTCATGGGACACTGTGGATTCTGATAAAATCAAAGAGGAGATCACTCTGCTGCCCACTATGTGTTGTGCTGTAAGACAACATTATAATTATGATTTATCTACCATCCTCGAGGCTTGTTGTAATGTTATAATTGCCATCTTACAGATAAGGAAATGAGGTACACACACGCATAATACAGTAATTTCTCACTGGTCACAGAGCTGGGATTTAGATCCAGGCAGCCAGCCTCCAGAGCCTGAGCTCCTCAACCCTCTCTTCACAGCCTCAGGGTATAAACAGCACCTGCCACAGCCTGGAGCCCACGAAGCCTCTGTCAGGTTTAACACTTACCCTCAACCATAAGTGTTATCTGCGTTTTATGACTGAAGAACTAAGGCCTAGGAAGACCACATGACCTCACCAAGGTCAAACAGCTTGTGAAGCAGAGCTGGATTTAGACGCAACCCTTCTCACTGCAAGCCCTGGGTCTGCCCACCACCCTACACGGGTGGCCCTAGCCCTGTGCATGAACTGTCTCCAGCAGGTGTAGCAGGCCAGTTAGAGTGAGTGACAGGGCCAGTTAAGACTCCCCTTCACAATTGTGGGTTCCATATCGGGAAGCGTTCCAAATATTAAAAGGGTCATTGCTGGATGCCAACTCTTCCCTTCCCGCCTCCTGTTAGCATGCACATTCCGAGGGGCTCAGAGTTGTGTGATCAGGATGGAATTCATCTAAGTGTGCGGTTTAGGGCATCGGCTTCCAATTCTGATAGACTATTCACAGGGACAGAGCCAACCATAGACACACAGGACGCTCCTCTGGGTGCCTTCCCGCCACTCCAAACCTGCCTGCCTGGAACCTCTGGGCCAGCGGGTGTCCATACGCAGCTCTGTCACTCCCCAGTCAGTTTCAGTGTTATTAAGGCTGGATGGCACACACAGACGCATAAAGCGCCCTCGGAACCTTTTACTCATACCCGCTAAAAGACACCGTCACTCCCACTCCCCGGACACAGCCTGCACACAGCTTCCTTCCTCGCTTGGGGCTGCACTCCCCCCCCCCCCGCCCACGCTCTCAGCGCAGGCCACGCCCCCGCGCAGGCCACGCCCCCGAGCGACTTCCTTCGCGCTTCTGGCCAGGTCGGTCAGAGTCTTGGGGCTGCACATGGGATGAGACTCGGGCGACTCATGAAGGTGTTCGTAACCCGCAGGATACCCCCCGAGGGGAGGGCCGCGCTCGCCCAGGCCGCAGAGTAAGTGCCGCGCACCGTTGCTGCTCAGCGCACGGAGTCCCCGCCGCGCCAGGCCCAGCTGGTGTCCGCGAGCGGCGCGGAGCCCTCAATACCCTGTTCCGGGCCACTCTGGCGGGTGCCTGCCACAAAGCCTAAGGCACCTTGCGCAGGGTGACTCAGCGAACTCCAAGCGGGCTTTGGGGGTGTCCAGAGCTGCGCAGTGGGCTGGGGGCACCAGGGGCGGGAGGGACGACCTGGAATTTGGGCCTAGGTCAGACTTTACAGCTGAGTGCAGCTGTGTCGGGCTTGGAGTTTCGGGAGGCTTAGAGAAAGTTGTGTAAGATCCAGGTCTTATCAGGCTCCCGAGGACCTGGCACTGGGCCTGTAGGAGAGAACCTGGTCATTGGTTATCGCCTTTAGAGAGGAGAGTTTAACCATGAGGCAAGGTCCAGGCTATTGATTCTTTACTCTGGAGGTTGGCTGACAGGGCAGGTGAGATCAGGGACCGTGCAAGTCACTACACTGGTCCCCTCAGTGGTTGGCAGGGCCTTTGATGACTCTTCCGGTTGAACCTTTTTCTGTACACCAACCTTGTCAGGTGCATCATATGCATAAACTTAATCCTTGCAACACTGGGAAGTCAGTGTTACAATTCTTCTTTCACTGACCCCAAAACAGGCTGGAAGGGGTAAGTACCTTGCCCAGTGTCACACAGCTCCAGGTGATGGAGCTGGGGTTTGTCCTCAGCCGGGTCTAGTTGCAGTGTGATGGAAAAGGTGAGACACGGCAATTCTAGGGAAAATGAGATTTGTTTTCTAATTTTGCTTAATGCAGTGCAACCTTTTCGGAAGGGAGAAGGGGGAAGACAACACTGAGGTTAGATAGATGTAGCTCCAGCTGCACAGTGGGTGTTGGACTCACACATAAGTTGTGAGGGGCTACAACAGGGTATCCTGAGGGGTGCCAGCACATATGACTGACAGTTTTTGCAGTGCTGGGGATTGACCCCAGGGTCTTGCACATGGTAGGCCAGGGCTCTACCTCTGAGCAACATCTTTATCCCTCACTGCACTGAGGTCAGTGTCGGGGACTGGGAGGAGTATCTCATTTCCAAGGCTGCTGTGGAAGCACACCTTAATGCTCCTCCTTGTTAACTGACCTTGAGGTTATCTTTTTCCTGGAAGAGTTCATGATGAGAGTTTTCTATTTCATGGACTCATAGGACAGAAAAAGATGCAACTGGTCATTGAAGCCAAGCCCCTTCTGATACAGGATCCCCTCTGGCCTTCTCTGCAGATAACCACCTACCTGGCCATGTGGTGGCCCCCTGTGCATGTAAGGGAGCTCTTAGTGTTCAGCTGAGAGCTATTGTCAATTTCCCACTTTTCTGCTTAGGCTCTGCTCTGGGCCCCCTCAGCCTTCGTTAGCTTGCTCTGCTCTGTGATATGCCTTCATCCCCCAGCCACTCTCTGGACCATTCTGAGGCCACCCACACCAGATGCTGACTGCCCCAGCCAGCCACAGGCCCAGAGAGTAAAAGTGATGCTTGCCAGTTCTCAGAGGGGCCAGGGCATCTGCGGGGCTCCCCTGAATCTCCTGGGTGGCCTTTCCTTTCAGCTGCGAGATGGAGCTGTGGGATTCTGATGAGCCCATCCCCAGCAAGGAGCTGGAGCAACGTGTGGCAGGGGCCTATGGCCTGCTCTGCCTCCTTTCTGACCGAGTGGACAAGAAGATTCTGGATGCTGCGGGTATGTGTACTGGGTCAGCCTGGGCAAGTTTCCCCAGTGTCTCAGCCTTGTGGGGCACATCAGCCTGCAGCAGCTGCCTCATGCACAGGCCTGCAGCCCTTTCCCTGCATTCTGAGGGTGTCCCCCACAGGGCTGGGAGGTTGGCTGCAGCTTCATCTGGCTTGTGTGTTGCCCTCCACCCCTTATTACTGTAAGTCCTTGAGGGAAGCCCCAGGAGGGCAAAGACCCTGGTGTGGTGGGTTTGGGGGAGGGCAGCCAAAGCCCTGGGACTACAGCCTTGCTTTGTGACCTGAAGCAAGACCTGCCTTTTCTAGGCCTGTGTGTAGCAGCAGAGAGGCCCCAGCTCAATACCCTGCATCAGCCGGCACCCAGCATCTGTCTGCTGGAGCCCCAGCCCCAGCTCTCTGCCCTAGACTAGAGCAGACATCACACCATGACACCATGTCCTGACAGTTTGGAGAAAAGGTTTAGATCCGGGGGCTGCTGGTTGGAGAGAGATGCCTTGAGTCAGAGTCAAGCCACCCCTGGAAGCCATGTGGTAAAGGAGAGGTTATGAGAGGGTCATGTCCAGCCACCATCTCAGCACTCTCAGAGGTGTCCATGGGAGGTCCCAGGTGTGGCTGAAGGAGACCCAGGCCTCACTGGCAGACATTCTAGTGGAGAAATCCAGTGTCCAAGTCCCTAAGGGGAGCCCTGGCTCCACTTTTGACTAGGCCAGGACACCTGATATCTCTGAGACACTATGTCTGTAAATGGCAAGGTTGGAGTTTTACCTGCAGAATAGAAATTCTAAGAAAATAATAACAAGCAGGTGCCCCTAGGATGTCCTGGCTTTGAAGTCCATGAGGAAAGATACAAACAATGTGTTTTCTGTACAACAGGAGCTAACCTCAAAGTCATCAGCACACTGTCTGTGGGTGTCGACCACTTGGCTTTGGATGAAATCAAGAAGCGGTAAATGCAGCTGAGCTCTGGAAGGGCCTAGAGTGCAGGGCAGTGCCCATGTGGTGCAGAAGAGAGTTACTTGTTTTCACTTTGTATCCCTCAGTGAGAATGAGAAGTGGCTGATGCAGATTCATCCACACGTGCACAAATCAGTTAAAACAAACCTGGGTTGGACACAATGCATGCCTATAGCATAATCCCAGCTACTCAGGAGGCTGAGGCAGGAGGATTGAAAGTTAAGGTCAGCCTGGGCAACTTATCTGTCTCAAAATAAAAAATAAGGAGGACATGGTGGCACAGGCCTGTAATCTTGGCACACTGGACGGCCAAAGCAGGAAGTACAAGTTTGAGCCCATTATATATTTATAATATTTAATATCATGTATTAAATATTAGATATATCACACACACAAACTCAAGAAGTTGGCAACGGTGAGTAACCTATCTAGTATCATCCTTTCACATTTATTATCTTTTTTTGATCCCCACCATAATCCTGGAAGAAGGTACAAGTATCATTTCCTTTTCTGATGAAGAAGTTCAGAATGATTTAAATAGAAACTTGCCCCAGACTTTGAACCCTAATCTTCTATCTTCATAGCCTTCCCAAAGTGGGAGATAATCAGAATGCAAATGAGGACTAGCCATTCCTTAATGCTCATTAAATGAAGCTCTGAGCTTCCTGGCAGGCAGAGCAATGGAGGAGCAAAGTGACATCATGGAAAAGACCCCGCAGTAGACCCTGGTGAAGGTGCATGAGGCCAGTGTTACCACTAGATGTTTGACTTCTAGTGGGATCCGAGTAGGCTACACCCCAGACGTCCTGACAGATGCCACTGCGGAACTGGCTGTCTCCTTGCTGCTTACCACCTGTCGAAGGTTGCCAGAGGCCATGGCGGAAGTGAAAAAGTGAGTGCCACCCAGAGGGAAAGGGGCTCTGCCTTTGCAGCTAGTTCCTGAGCAGGAGGCTCAGCCTGGCCCAGATGTGCTCCCGGTCCCTGGGTGGGCCCCATCTCATGAGGGAGAATTGACTCAGCTAAAATAATTAAAGCATAAGACTGAGCTACAATAAACAGAGCATGATGGGAAGTCATGAGAGATGAAGATAGAAGGAGACAAATTCTGCTGGCTGGGGGTTAGAGGAGGAATGCAGATAGGGAACAGCTTCATGGGAGGAGGAATGTCCCCTTGAGCTCTTAGGGTGATTCTGAGCACCAGTGATGCCAAAATCAGAAATCACTGAGGACTGGAAGTTATTTCCTAATCCTTTTGAGAGCTAAGCTTGATCGTGCTAACCCCAGTGAGGCCATCATGCTTTCTCAGTGGCAGGAGCAGACCCAGATACTGCTAGGGTGCTGTGTAGAGCGCACTGTGGGCACTGTACTGCCTTCCTCACAACCAGAGCTGTGCATCCTGGCCTGAGGGTTCTGGCACAGGATTTTAGTGTGCACATGCAGTCAGCAGGTACTCTAGGAACTGGGAGCAGGGACAGCGACATGAGCATGGTGGACATGAGCAGACATGGCCCTCAGAGAACATGGCCAGGAGCTGGCTGCTGCATGGGGCACTGGCCGTGTGACACAATGCTGGTGTTCTGCTAACGGTCCTGTCTAGGAACACCACACCTTCACTGGTAGTGGCTGCTGCATCCCTTGCTCACCCAAAGCAACAGGGCAGCCTTGTGGCTTTACTTTTGTTGCTGCTGAGGAGTTCTGAGAGAACTTGTTCTAGAATCTCAGATCCCAAGTTTGCAACCTGCTGCTCCCAATGCCCCTGGCTGTGTCACCTCAGGCAGGTTACCTTTCTGGTCTCAGTTTCCTCATCTGCAAAAAGGATGAGAGCCTCTGAGGCCTCTTGCTGTCCTTAATTTCTGTGTCCCAAATGGATTTAAAGGAGGAGTCATCCTTGCTGCGTACTCAAGTGGTGAGTGGCTGTAGTGTTCCTCATTGTACTTTCAGCCCAGGTTGGACCTTGGACCACAGGAGGAGAGTGTGGGTGTGTGAGTTCCATGTGGGTCTTATCTTTGCCTGAGGCCCGGTGCTCAATGCCTCATCCCTCCCCTCCACAGTGGTGGCTGGACCTCATGGAAGCCCTTGTGGATGTGTGGCTATGGACTCACGCAGAGCACTGTTGGCATCATGGGGCTCGGGCGCATAGGTAAGGCTCCCCTTGCCCCTGCCCCCCTGCTCTCTCCTACCCATCTCAGCTCTTGGGCTTGGCTTGAGTCCCTGGTGCCATGTTCCTCCATGCTGATGTCCCTCTTTGGAAAAGCTGCCACCTCGATCATATGCCAGCAGGGCACTTCCCACAGGAATGTCGGCCATGAGAAGAGACAGCCTTGTAAAACCCAGGAAAAGGAATAAATAAAATCAAGAGTTCCTTCAGGACTCACTGGGAGCCAGAGTTCCTTAGGAATTCAGCTCCATAAAGAACAGGTGAAGGCTGCAGATGCCGGGTGGGACCTTGAGAAGTGGTTACTGTGGACAGTTTGTCCTCTCCCAGGCTGGGCTCAGAGGCACTGACTTATGAAGACTTAGCAGGGTGCAGAGAGCTCACTGGGCAGAGTTTATCTGCAGACACAGTAGACCAACTTTGCTTCTGGTGGCCGGTCGTTGGAGAAGTCTGACAGAAAGGCTCTGGCTCAGCCAGGCAGCTGCTAGTGGGGCTCTGTCACCCTGTAGAGGGTGAGGCTAAGGGTGGTGAGTGTGGATAACCTGCCTGGCCAGCCAACAGTCTGCTTCTGTCACTGGAGAGTTGCTCAGAAGAGCCCAACAACTTTAGGCCATGTTCTGTGTTTGAAGATCCAACTGACCGTTCCTATCTCAGTGCATCTTATATGAAAATGTCTTATAAGTCTGGGGCAAGTTGGCAGTTGATCAATGCCATCAAAAAGTCAAAGAAGGTCTGAGTCTACATTAACAGAAGTAGAGGGTCCAGAAGGAGGGAGGGGATTGCCGGGGGCCCCAGCTCCAATAAGACAGGACCAGTTAACATAGTCCCCTGTCCCTGGAGCTGCTGGCTGCTGCCCCTATCCTCTGAAGGGTGGGAACAAGCCATGGACTGATTCTTGCCTCTAGGCCAGGCCATTGCTCGGCGTCTGAAACCATTTGGTATCCAGAGATTTCTATATACAGGGCGCCAGCCCAAGCCTCAGGAAGCAGCAGAATTCCAGGCAGAGTTTGGTAAGTAAAACCTTGATTTCCAGAGGAGCCCTGCCTGTGCTCACGTGGAGGATTCTCTTGTCTTCACTGATGGCATGTGTAGGCAGAGTGTAGGTGCTTCAGGTGGTCTGGGGGCTGCCATGTCCCCTAGGTGTTACCCAACCTGGCTGTGGACATAGGCCCACTCGGAATACAGGGACCTACCCAGCTCACTCAGGGAGTTCTCTCAGTGTGTGGGCAGAGCCCCAGGGATGTGGTGGGCTGAGGAAAAGCTGAGCACTGACCAGCCCAGCCTGTCTGTGCCTTGGTCCAGGTGGAGCTAGCTCCTGGGGGTACACAGTGTGGTGAGCAGATGGCAGAGTGGATCTCGACCATTCCTCCCTCGTGGCACATCCAGCCCTGAAGGTGGTAAAAGCCAAAATGGCCCCAATTCTACCATGTGACCTTGAACAAGCTTCTGCCTCAGTTTCTCTATCTGTTAGACTAAGGGGCTGGGTGGAAACTGTGATACACCAGGATCCCATGAATGACTGCTGACTTCATACAGTCATCAGAGCTGTTGAGGCCTTCAGAAAGCATCTTGAGAGTTTCTAGTGGGGGATGGAAGAGCCTGGTCTCTACCCTCTTGCTGTCCCTAACCTCTGATGAAGTCCCCCCTCTCCCCAGTGTCTGCCTCTCAGCTGGCCGCAGAGTCTGACTTCATCGTGGTGGCCTGCTCCTTAACACCTGAAACCAAAGGGCTCTGCAACAGGGACTTCTTCCAGAAGATGAAGAAAACAGCCGTGTTTGTCAACATTAGCAGGTAGCCTAGGGCTGCCCAATATCCTAGGGTCACCCTGCAAGCCTGGAGAGGGGCTGTCCCACTGCTGTCATCTGGGGTTCCCTGTAGGATATTGATGAGACCTTGGGCTGAGCCTGCCAGGCTCTACAGATCAACCGACTGACCAACAACTCGGAAAAACAGTAGAGGCCACAAAAGAACCGGGTTAGGAAGAAGAGTAATCAGATCAGAGCAGAGCCTGGGCCTCTGGCACCCACAGTAGTCTCAGCCTTGATGAAGCCCTGGCACACTGTAGTGTGGATTGGGGGAGGGCCTAACAGGCAGTGAGTCACTAGGGAGCCTTGTTTTCCTCTACCGAAGAGTTGGACAGTCTGAGCTGGCTGCCCCTTTAGAGACCAACCTTCCATGCCATTGAGCCTGGCCTGAGTTCAGTGATGGTTTGAACCTTTGCTCTCCTGGGCAGACAAGCCTAAAACTCAAGTTTTCCTAGTTCCCCAAAATGTCCTCAGGAGTGTGTTCAGGCCACTGGGATGTACAGGGGAAGATGTTCCTTCTCTGCCATTGTAACTTCTTCCTAGCTGATACCCTTTGAACCTTTTAAATCAATTTGGAGGAAGGCTTTGCATGAGGTCAGCCTGAGGGCTCATACACCCTAAAGGTACCTGTAATTACTGATGGTTAGCTACTAAGGAGTGCCCTGGGGGTAGCAAAGTAGTGCCTGAACACAGGTCTTCAGGTGATGGCCGATGGTAGCCCTAGTTTCTGTTGAGCACCTGCATTTGCCCAGGACTGTACAGAGCCCTGCTTTACAATAGTCCTTGTAGCACAAGTAGCTTATGGTGTGCAATATGAAGTCTAGAAAACCAGTTCTTCAGTGGCTGCTTACTTTTGATGGATGCAGTGAGGTTTCTATGCCTAGGGCTGGGGATTTAGCTCAGTGGTTCTGCTGCCTGCCTCCCAAGCACAAGGTCCCAAGTTCGATCCCCGGTACAAAAAAAAAGTCTACCTGATGGCATGCTGTGGTTCTCAGTGGGTGATCTGGGGGCCAGCCAGATCAGAGACACTTGCATGAACCCCAAGACAAGTGCAGACTTCTGGGCCCTGTTCATACCCTAGTGTATGTAGGTAAGCTTTAATCCTACCAACATTACTAGGAGTTAAGTGGTATTCTCCCTATCTGAAGAGGAAGAGCCTGAGGCCCAGACAAGTTGAGACACTTGGCCAGGGTCAAGTGCTAAGTCAGTGGAACAACTAATTCTGTGGGTTGTTCTGCCCTAAAGGCAGCCTGGTGGGGGAACTCATACCACCACTGCCATTTCCAGGGGAGATGTTGTAAACCAGGATGACCTGTACCAGGCCTTGGCCAGTGGTCAGATTGCAGCTGCTGGGCTGGATGTGACAACCCCAGAACCACTGCCTACAGAGCACCCCCTGCTGACCCTGAAGAACTGTGGTAAGAGTTGTGTTTGCAGTGTAAGTCCTCGCTTTTCGGCATGCTAAGTGTGCTGGGGCAGGGTGGGAAGTTCATGAGAGCAGTGCTGTGCACAGAGGGACACACCTGAGACATACCCAGGCTGTTAGTGACACTGGTACTTAATGACGGGAGGGATCCTTCTGAGCATGTCCTAAAGGAACCAGAATGTAGGGTGACTGGATCTGTTAAAAGAAGTGCCTGGTAACGTACCTTACAGATGTAACATGCCTTCCATCACAGCTAAAATCTGTTGCTGTTATCAGTGTTTGAGAAAAGAAGTCCTGGCCATACCAGTGTTTATAGCTTCTGCCAATTATTAAGCTGTTCTCTTGACACAACACATCCACTTCTCTGTTCTCTTTGGGTGGGGCTGAACCTCTGCACACCCCATTTCTGTGCCAGCGGGCCCTATCAGGCCCCGTCAGCTTGCTCCCTTCTGCTTTCCTGTCTCTCTGGGAGTGACACTTCTCCCAACAACACTCTTCCCTAGCAGCAGCAGTTCCTTCCTGTTGTGGCTGGAGGGATCCAGTTTGCAGTTTTTCTAGCCAGTGGCCCCAAGGGGTCAGAGGGGCCTTTTCACCCATCTGCAATTTAACAATCCCACCCTTTTCCTCTGACACCGGCCCCTGCTCCCGAACCCTAAGGGATGCTTCACCAGTTCTCATACTTCTCTCTTTGCCTGGTCATCCGGAGGGACTGAGCCACATGGTTGCTGGGCCCCATCTGAGGGCTTCTGCTTTACCAGGACCGGGCCATGGGCTGAGGTCATCTGAGGTCATGTGCACCTGACAAACTCACATGATACAGATGTGGCTGAGCCTGGGACCACTCAGAAAACCTCAGCCTTAGTGCTTTTTTGCCTCTACATGGTTAACCCCAATTCATAGTTCTTTATATTAAGTTCTGACCAGGCATTAGTGTGGTCTCTGCCTCCGGACTATGAGTGGTCAGAGTTATGGGTTTTCCATTTACATTCTAGAATGGAAACCCAAACAAGTCATTCGCTGCCTTCCCAGTGAATTGTCCCATTATTGCAGCCATTGGCAACTTTACTGTCCCTGCCCCCATGCCAGCCTGCAAGGAACTTTGACTGTGATGAAAACTAGCACTATTCCTCATGCCTAGAGTCAGCTTAGTGCCCTGGGAGCTGCTTCAAAAGACAGCTCTTTAGGGATGAGTGACCTCATTTGTTCCCTCACTATAGTGAGGCGTGGGGGAGCTGTGGTGTCAACTCTTCATCTTGGAATTCTTTTGTTTTTGCAGTACTGGGAACTGAACCCAGGACCTGTGCATTGAGCTATGTCCCCATCCCATCCCTCTTTTTAATTTTAAGAAGGGTCGCATGCTAAGTCATTAAGTTGCAGGGGCTGGGCTTGAATATGTGATTCTCCCGTCTCAGGGTCCCAGAGTGCTAGGATTACATTTGTGTGCCATCACACATGCTTCATCTTGGGAGTTATTCTGAAGGGATATGGGCTGTGGGGGGTCAGAACTAAGCTCCTAAGGTAAGCTGGCACCTGGTTTCACCATCTAGTCCCTGAAGGGCTGCATCTAGGTAGGCGCCAAGATCCCTGTAGTCCTTCCATCCTTATGTGTAGGTACAAACTTTCCATCCCTCTAATATTGAAGTCTCAGCAGCCTGCGGTCTCTGCTATTCTCTGAATACCATCCCTGGGGAAATGGAGTGCTTACTAACAATATTTGAGTAGAGAAGGCAAATGAAGGCATATTGAGGCAGGTTCTCTGCCCTTTTTAGGTAAAGCCAAGCCATGAAAGAAGAGCCCAATTTATGGACCTTCATCCCAAATACTGAGGATTGAACCCAGGGCCTTCCCACTGAGCTACATCTCCAGCCCTTTTTTATTTTTTTAAATTTTGAGACAAGGTCTTGCTAAGTCATTGAGTTACCCAGGCTGGGACCAAACTTCTGGTTTAAGGTCTTGAACCATGCTTAGCTCCATCTCTTCCCTTTCCTTTCCAGTGATTCTGCCCCACATTGGCAGTGCCACTTACAAGACTCGAAACACCATGTCCTTGTTGGCAGCTAACAACTTGCTGGCTGGCCTGAGAGGAGAGCCAATGGCCAGTGAACTCAAGCTGTAGGGAGACAGCCCCACAGGCCGGAGCCAGTGCTCTGATATTCCGCTGACACACCAGGCAGAATTTGGCCCCACAGGTGGAAGCCGAGGGAAAGACTGATCTGTTCTGATGCTGCAAGTGAAGACGGGTACCGGTTGATGTGCTTTGCTATTTCTATGGCTGGACACATCCACGCCAAAAGCCTGTAATTCTCTCATTAAATAATTTTCTAAGACTGTCTCAGCCTGTAACTGGAGGAAGCTAACAAAAAGAGGATGTTTCTAACTTGGGACATTCAGTGACCTACCCTTACCATCTGGTCTTCACCCTGAGCACTTGTAGCAACTTGCCCAATTCCATCCCATGTCCCTCACCAAGGGTGGGACAAGTGGAGCCTTGTTAATCATGGCACTTCAACCCAATACCTAGACGATCAGGAAAATTCAGAGCGCATAGAGCAAAGGGAGTTAGTTAACTAGAAGAAAGGAGGACTTACATTAGGTCGACACTCTTGGTTGAGAATGACTAGAGGAAGGTGCGTTCCTAATTTCAGAATTAGTTTTTGTATCTACACTTTGCTCCCTTTACCTGTCTCATCCTCTGTCCCCTACACAGGTGAACACTTTTGTTTTTGAGACAGGATTTCGCTATGTAGTTCAGTTGGCCTTCGACTCACCATGTAGCTCAGACTGGTCTCTTCTTTGTGATCCATCTGTCTCAGCCTCCCAAGTACTAGGATTACAGGCATGGCCCACCACACGTCCAGATTTTTAAAGTCATCTTCTTATTCTTCCCCAAGGCCAGGCCACCAGCATTGCCATTGCCAAAGCCCTGCTCTGTGCTAAAGGAATCAGCTTCCAGCCACCCCCTACTGGGCCAAATTGGCAAATGAAGCTGCCAACAGCAACGCAGTACAGGGTTGAGTGGCCTCCAAGAGTAAGTGGGTAGACTGAGAACAAAATCACACTCAAAAGGAATGAATAACTGGAGGGGAACAAGAAATTACTATTATTCATTGACTATATTACTGTCTTAGAAGCTTGGTTTAAAAAAATACCAGAAGCAGGGCTGACAATATAGTACTACTTTTCTGTTTTGTTTCAACCTCAACCTAAGCAAAGAAAAAAAAACATATTTAGAGGCATGGATATGACAAATGTTTTATTTCAAAATCTCAAATTTTAACCAGCATAGCACCACTGACAAAGGTGCCCCACCAGAACTTTTTGCTGTTATCACCAGGAAAGATTATGATTATGCCAGGCTATAATTAAGGCTAGCCAACGTATTTAGGTCCCCATTACCAGTTGAGATCCAGGTAGAAACTAGATCATAGGAACCCTGGGACTGGTTTTCCAGGGAAGCTTTGAATTATTTTTCAAGTGCTATAGCATGATCCAGGACACTGGCCCCCAAGTTTGCTTCTCACACGTGGAAACTGATTTGAAGAGGTAGATGAGAGATTCCAGGTTCCATCTAGCAGTGGAGAGGCAGGACTCTGATGTGTGTCAGAGACAGGCCCAAAAGGCAAATTCAGTTTTGCCTGAGCAGGGGTGAAAAGGAGGCTCCTGGCACCACCTCTGAAAGATGTAAGGGGAGCGGCCATGCCTGTGTCACTGGCTCCTTGCCCCAGGCCCAGAGCTTCTCATTCCCCATGCTGACCAATCTGACTCCCAAAGTCCAACTCCTCACAGGACGCTGGTCCCTACATCATGTGGCGGGTGGATGTGGAGCCTCTCGCATCACATCAGGACAGGACAGCTGACAATGAGCCACACAGAACTGAATTTCACAGGTGACCACATATCTTCCCATGGTCCCCCTCATCTGCCCAGAGGAGGAGCTGCAGGTTTCCTTGTGAGCTTTCCTCCTTGAGATCAGTTCATAGGAGACGCCAAGCCTTCTATGAACATTAGATTTATCCACTGATATGTACTGTACATACTAGATTAAGAGAAGACGCACACTTATTTTTGTTTTAAACTACACATATTTAGCCTTCTAAACATATGAATAAATTCTGAATTATGCACAGTGGATTAGTTATTTCTGAGAAAGTTGTGTAAAAAACAAAATGAAATCATGTTTGTGCATAAGCTAAACTGAGTTCTACACAGATACATGAACCTGGGATGTTCCCAGGTTCACATGAGCCAGGGGATGGCCAAACACGAGTGCCATCAATAGCCCTGACAGCAGTGTCAGAGAACAGCAAGATGGGGCGGGGGAAGTGAGCTGGGAGGCCCTGGGCAGTGACTCAAATGCCTCTCCAGCAGTCTCAGTTGCTACTAGGTGACTTCTGTGCTATACGGGCTGCCTCATCTCTTACAAATCCTGGAAAAGACTGATTATTCATTATTCATTCACAAATGCTACTAATTTGGATTTCAAACAATTTTAAACCCTCAGTATCGGGTTGGGGAAGCAACAATAAAGTTAAGGGCCTATAGTTTTAAAGAATAGTATATAACAGTAATAAAAACCCATGGGAGGTGACATTATTTTTGGTTAGTTTGTAACTGAAAACAGTCATCTAGGGAGAGAGGCCATATGGGGAAGGGGAGCATGAAGAAACAGTGGAAAATAGGCTTGTCCTCAGGTGGGATGTGTCAGATGGAACTCTACAGTGTCTGATGGAGCAAAGGGCAATGGATCATGAAACTGCCACAAAACATGACTCCACATCATCGGAACAAAGACAAACAACTAGCTCTTTTCTGACTTCCAAACATGGAACTGTAACATTGGTAACACAAATTGGTTAAAATTCTGCTAAAACAGCACATACAAAAACAATACCTTACTTGTCACTCCCTATAAGTACATACTCCATTTACAACTTTGTCTTTAAAACCAGAAAAAAAAATATTGTTAAAACATCTACCTAACAGAGATGTACTCAAAAGTATATACACCTATTAGTCCAAGAGAATGCTCGCCTGGACCCAGTGTCAGCACCATCAAAGTGCAGTGTCTGTGACTGCAAATCAGACAAAAATAAAAAATACAGTACTTTCTGAGGCCTAGGACTATCTCAGGATTTAAAGCATTTGTGGCAGACAGGTATGTCCTTAAGGGTCTTCCTTTGAGACAGGCACCAAGTCACCACTGGTTACACATAAGTGCATTTTGCATCATTGTACAGGGATATAATATTTCCATCAGGGGGTATAGGAAGTTTAATTCAATGCTTCACAGAACTTTACAAAAATTGCTAAAAAATTGTTTTGCACTTCCATTTTTAATTTTTAAGTGCGCCACTTTTAACAACATCAATTACAAACTATTTTATAATTGTATTACTCAACCCTAAGGAAGAAGTTGGTTCCAGGGATCTATTGCATCCCATTCCCACAGCCTGCATTTCACTCAGAAATGCCACAGCCAAGTGCTACCTGTAATAGTTTCCCACTTAATAGCTGAAATTTGCAAGAGCCACTGGGCAGCTGAAGCCTCAAACCCAAAGGCATTAACTGCCCACCAAAAGCAATTTTAGTTTCAGTCCCACAACTGGCCCTGGCATTGTTTCATGAGGGCAGTTAGAGCAAAGTGCTGGGAAGATTGCTGCTCTGCCAGCGCAGGCAAGTAGTTTTTGAATGTTTATATAGGTGGCTGGATTGACTAAACCTCTTGCCACACTTCAGGCAGGCATAAGGCTTTTCACCTGTGTGAACACGGATGTGCTTCTTGCAATCTGTCAAAGTCAGAAAAGTTTTGCAGCAGATTTTGCAGGCATACTTGCGAGCTCCCTCTACAACCAAGACATTGTGCTCTGATAAGGCCTTCTTGCACTTTGACAGGACATCAGCAGATGCCCTGGTCAACTGTGGAGGGCCAGGTTGGGAGGGATGGCCATTTTCAAATGAGGATGTGGCCCCATTCATCATTAGTTGGGAACTGGCAGAGTTTTCTGGGATCTGTGAACTCCTGACAGAAGTTACAACTGGCATTTTGGGAGCTATGCGGCGGTAGTATGGAAAATTACTGGCTCCTCCTCTCGGGGAGCCCATCATTACCCTGGAAAAGGAGGAGTGGAGTCCCAAACCAGACCTGGAAAAATCCATCCCAAACTGCTCTCCCTGGTAGCCTGAGGTCTGCACACATGGCAGGCCCATCACCTCCTGCATGGGTCTGACAAAGTGGGAGTCTGTTGGCTCACTGAATGGGTTCTCCACATGGGAGCCAGGGGCAGAAGAGGAGCCGCCTGCAGGCCCAGCCTCTGGACTCAGCAAGTAAGGGGCCTCACCCTCCATCCGGCAGTCACTAGTGGTGTTTGGGATGTTATCATCATTGTTTTGATTTGCACTAAAGTTACTTCCTCTGCTCTTGTTGAGAAAATTTGAAATACTAAACGTGGACTTATGCTCTAGGTTATTTGTGACTTCCAAAATGTGGATGTCACCTACCCTGTCCGTGCTGGACTGGGGATCTGAAAAACTCCGATCACTGCTTTCAGGGCTGAGGTCTATCTTCTCGGCACTGACCACAACTCCTTCCACTTCCACAGACTCGCTGCCTTCTGCTTGGGAGGTCACATCACTCACTTCATCCTGAGGCTCAGGTGAGCTCAGGGGCTCAGATTTAACCACCACTCTCATGTGCTCCTTCTCACCAAGGCCAACCTCAGCATTTTCACACTGGAAACCACTTTTTTCAGTTGCAGCTTCCTGCTCAAAACTAGTCTCAACCTGAGTTGCACGAGAGGCCATCGACAACTGTGCTATGTTGCTGGCGCTGTTGTCCGACTGACTGGGCACCTGGGCATCTTCTTGAGCACCAAAAGACTGGTCAAACATGATAGTGCTGTCTTCCTGGTTGTCAGTCATTCCATCGGGTTTAGGATTATCTACAATTTTCAGAGAATCTGGTGAAAAGAACTCCTCCCGAGAATGAACCCCTGAAGGCCCATTCTCTGGTGTGACATCTGAAATGGCAGACTCATCCATGGAGGGCCGGAGGCGCTGCCTGGCCCGCTCCTCTGCAGACTGCTTGCGCTTATGAAGGCGTCTCATAGGGAAAGGTGTTCGCTGGTCCAGGTTATTGCGCATTGATGAGCTCATGGGAGCTGGCTGCTCCTCGCCACCCTGGCTGGCATTAAGAGCTGAGCTCACAATGCTTAGTCCCAGCTGCTGTAGCATAAAGGAGCGCTGCATGCGGGCACTCTGCTCCTGTATGCGCTCACTGGGGGGAGACATGGGCAGTGTCCTTGTTGTCAGGTAATGTTTACATGCCTTAACAACAGAGTTCAAATGCAGGTGAGAGGCTGCCAATAAGACATCCATAACATTGCTCTCCCCCAGCATGAGGGTGGAGGTATACATCATGTCAATCAGCGCAGCAAAGGCCTCCGCTGTCACTACCTCGCTATCCAGCTGAATCATGTTCATGGTCTGATCTCCTTCTGCCACTGAGAAGAGAGCTCGGAAATGTGTGCTGCATGCTGCCAGCACAGAGCGGTGGGCTTTGAAATGTCTATTCCCCACTACAATGACACAATCACAGAGCTGGCCATGAAGTCTTTGGTAGTTCAGCTGTTGGAAAATCTGTTCAAAGTGACCAGGAAAATCCATGATCCTACAGGAAAAACAAACAAAGAAAGAAAAGCATTGAGACTTAAAAAAGCTTCAGTCAAAGCCAAAACACAAGGGAATGATGGAAAAATATTGAATGGTCAAGCCTAGACCTTTTCAAACTTGTAATGCTGCTGGTGATGAGCACACACACAAAAAACTTGTCAAGTAAAGGGCAGATTCAACTTTCATGCCTAATAGCATGCAGCACACACATAGGCTCATTCCCGGCTGCCCTTCATGGTTCACGTGACCCATTGAGAACAGGGAGGGTCTGTGTTAAAAAAGACCAGTGTGTAGTGAAGCTGTATCTTGCCCACAGAAGTTTGTTGGCATTCTGCAATCCCTGAGCACAGTGAATTATCACCAAGACATTCCAGTCTTAGAATCCTTAAATAAGTGAAAATGGCAAATCAACATTAGCAGGGGAGATTTCTAGTTACTGATTATAGATTGTACACATGCGTTTGTACCTACTCATTCTTGAAACCCCATTAAAAAGACACTTTTCTCTTTGTCTTAAAGGTATAAACTGTCAAAAACCCTTACAGGTAGAAGCCCTAGAAAAAAACAGAATGGGAAAGCTGGGGAGTAGGTAAATGAATGCAAAGTTAGCATACCCAAAATGCCAACTCTTACACTGCCAGTGAATAAGACAACATATATGAAACCTTTTCCCAAAGTCCATGAACTGGTGGCTCAGGTGAAGGTAAGACTAAGGACATCTGGCTGAAAGTCTATTCAGTCAAATAAATATATTAGGCACATAGAAAAGGTAAAGCTACAGATACAAAGGGAAGATTAATGCTGGGGCTGAGAGCAAGGAATAAATGCAAATGGAAAGAGTAATTTTTGAGAGTATGACACAAATATTCTAAAGTTTGATTACTATGACTTCATAAATTTTTTGGAAGCACCGTTCCCTGCGCAGAGGAGGAGGCTTCCAGGCCGGCGTAGCACCACTCCCAGCACAGAGGAGGTGAGCCATGCGGGGGCCAGCACCACACACACACACACACACACACACACACACACAC